TGTAGATTTGATATTTAATAATTTTAAAGGATATTATATTATTTAGAGAACTTTCTTAATAAAAAATACATACATTCAAATCTCATGGTTTTAGTTTCGAATTAAAATTTTTTATAATTGATAACAAAAATTTCTCAAAAATCATTAAAATCATTAAATGATACTACATTTGTTTAATCACAGAGATTATATTTTAATGATTTGAGCTGTAACAATATTTTATAATTTTTGAGGGAAAAACAAATACAGAAATACTACACTTGCTTAAGTACAGAGAGTAAGTCTAATATTAATACGAGCACTCAAACCCGGTTAACTTGATACCCGGTTAAACAACTATTAGCATTCAAACACGGTTAAATTGATACACGGTTAAATTGATACCCGGTTAAACAACTTATTAAGGATACAAATCCAAAACCTACCCGAACTAATAAAAACTCGTCAGCACACCAACCAAACCTGAATTTCTCCGAACCCAACGGAAGCAACGGTAAAGCTCTGACTCTATCTACTACACATCTCTCTACGCACACACACAGTTACTTTTGTCTCTTTGTCTCCTTAATTCCCTCAGATTTATTGTTTTTTTTATTTTCATTTATCATTTTTAATTTCCCCTCAATACATTACGTAAAGAATAAATAAAGGAAATAAAACCCTTTTCTTCCTTGGGATCTATAAAACTTTTTCCCTGAATTTACTCTTAAAATTTTTATTACCTACCAAAAACCAAATAAATTGTTAGTTTTCAATTTTAGTGTAAAAAAAAGAAAAGTATTTACATATTTAATATTTTAATTCGAGTTTTTTTCTATTTTTGTGTTTTCTTCTGTGTCTTTTTGGTTGAGTTTAGCTGTAAAGGTCCACAGACCACACCACACACCATTGCCCACGAAGCTGACCCCTTTTCTTGACATCTTCTCTCTTATGTGACCTTTTGAGTTTTGAATTATGAAATAAAAAATTGTTTTTCTTCTTCTTCTTAGAATTTGCTTTTTGTCTGAAAGTTTTAATATTGGTTTAGTGGTGTTTCCCCCTTTTTTTTTTCCTTAATTCAATTTTATTTATTATCTGGGTTTGGTAGGATTTTGTATTTCCTTGTGAGATGTGAAAGTTTCAATTTTTATTTTGTGATCATCTTTCTGGGTTTTTGGTATTTGGGTTACTTCTCTGTTTTGTGAGAGATGTCACCTGTTGCTAAAGTCTCTGAGTTTCACAGAGAAGGGAACGACTGGTACATACTTCTTCTCTTTCTCCTTCTTTACTTGCATGTATGTGTGTGTTGTTTATGCGATTTAAGTTCATGGGTTGTGTCCTAACTTCATTCAATTGCTCTAATTTATGTTGTCGGTAGCTCAGAGACCTTAAAGTTTGCAGCTTTTTTTACAATTCTTCAATTGTCATATCAATTTTTCCATATGGATCCTAATATGGAAGATAAGCTATGATTAGATTAGTACATAAGATGAAATTTTGTACTTTGGAAACATTAAAGAGAGCTTTGGATTTTAAAATATGCAGGTTTTGTAAGACAGGACTGTCAAGTGATATCAATGTTGTTGTGGATGATGTCAAGTTCCATCTTCATAAGGTATGTAGCTTTTTTGGTTTTTCTTTGATTCTTTGCTTGCTTCATGAGTTTGGTATCTCCTTTGTCTTCTACTATAAGTATGTGTTTGATCATTAAGCAGTAGAATTTGTGTGAAGAATCTCTGAGAACATTGCTGGGTTTAGTTAGGTGGTTCTTAGTATGATGAGTTCAAGAACAGAATTGTTCTGCTGCTGTGTAGCCTTGAGAAAAGATAAGTCTTGTTAGTGCTCCAAGTAGATTCAGCTACTAATTATGTGAATACCTTTGTTATGGTTGTGTAAGGCATGTAACAGACATGTATAGTTATGGTAATTGAATATATGTATATATGTTTAATGCATCTTTCTGCTTGTGTGTAGCAACTGTAACTACAAGAATTATGTATGTGTGTATTTGCAGTTTCCATTGGTTTCAAAATGTGGAAAGCTAGCACGGATGTATGAAGATTCTAGAATCACTGATAAGGAATCACTCTGGACTACAGTGCTTGAAGAGTTCCCTGGTGGTGCAGACAATTTCCTGATAGTTGCTAGATTCTGTTACGGGGCTCGAGTAGATTTCTCCTCGAAAAACATAGTTTCCATACACTGTGCAGCTGAGTACCTCGAAATGACGAATGAGTATGGGGAAGATAACTTGATTTCCCAAGTTCAAACATTTTTGCACAAGCATGTGCTTTGCAATTGGAAAGACTGTATCTTAGCCTTACAAAGCTGCAATCCTGTTTTAAAGAGTACTGAAAAGCTTCAGACGATACCAAAACTCATGAACGCTGTGTCAACGATGGTGTGTACTGACCCGAGTTTGTTTGGATGGCCTATGATGATGTATGGTACATTGCAGAGTCCGGGTGGAAGCATTTTGTGGAATGGAATACACACTGGAGCGCGAATGAGAAGCTCGGGTTCGGATTGGTGGTACGAAGATATCTCTTATCTTAGTGTAGATTTGTTTAAAAAGCTCATCAAGATGATGGAAACAAAAGGTATACGTGCAGAAAGTTTAGCTGGTGCTATGATGTATTACGCGAGAAAGTACTTACCGGGTTTGGGACGGTGGCAGAGTGGAACAAGTGACAGCAGTAAAAGCAGAAGAAGAGTTGTGAGTTTTAGTTTGGCAAAGGCTTCTTCACCATCCTCTATGTCCCTTGTTGATCAGATTGCTTTGTTTGAAACCATTCTTAGCCTACTACCCGAAAAGAGAGGAAGATCATTCTGCAAGTTCTTGTTAGGTCTCCTTCGCGTTGCTTACATTTTAGGAGTTGATGGGAACTGTGTAAAGAAGTTGGAGAAAAGAATAGGGATGCAGTTGGATCTTGCAACACTTGAGAATCTTCTAATTCTTAACTATTCTGATTCAGAGACACTGTACAATGTAGATTGTGTTGAACGAATCATTCTCCATTTTGTATCGTCATTGTCATCTTCACAGTTACCTGAGTTCTCTCCTCCATCTTTGGATCCAGTGACGTCTCCTTCTTCAGTGCCTTTAAGAAAAGTGGCAAAGCTGGTCGATAACTACATGGCAGAGGTTGCTTCTGATGTGAATTTGAAACCGGATAAGATGCGGTCTCTTGCAGCAGCTCTTCCAGAATCTTCAAGACCCTTGTATGATGGTTTATACAGAGCATTTGATATCTATTTTAAGGTTGGATCATTATAAAACTTCAGTTATTTAATGTTTTTCTCCAAAAAGATCCAATATTGAATATGAATCTGAATTTTTCAGGAGCATCCATGGCTATCAGATAGAGACAAGGAACAACTCTGCAACATCATGGACTACCAAAGACTCTCCATTGACGCTTGTGCTCATGCTTCCCATAACGATAGGTTACCGCTAAGAGTTGTTCTTCAAGTTCTCTTCTTCGAACAAATGCATCTCAGAACCGCTCTTGCAGGCGGTGTCAATGTTGCAAACACTGAAACAGCTCATGCAGTTATGATCCCTGGTGGAAGAACGGGACAGGAGATAGTTCAGCGAGATGGTTGGGTGACCGTTGTGCGCCAAAACCAGGTTTTAAAAGTTGATATGCAGAAAATGAGGTCACGGGTTGGAGAACTTGAAGAGGAGTTTCAGAGTATAAAGCAGGAGATGAAGAAGAGAGTGAGCAAGTCCTCTAGCGCAATGAACTCGCCTCGTCTTGTCAAGCTCGGTTGTAAGTTTCTTCTTCCCCGAGCCTCTGATGCTAAGAATGATACAGTCCATAGCACTCCTAGATCTGTTACCGCTGACCACACTCTCCCACGTTCCTCCCGCGATTCCAAACACCGTAAAAGCTTCTCCTTTTTCGGATAATCTCCCTCCAAAAACATTTATGATTCCCTCTTCTGTTAAAGCCCAAAACAGAGAAAGTTCTTTTTCCTTTCTTGACGCATTCCCTCAAGAAAGTTTCTCTAATTCCCGGGAAAACCAGCAGAAAGTTCTTTCCTTTTCCGGAAAAAGGCCCAAGAAAAGAAGCTGGCCATTTGAAGAAGAAGATTGATCTCTTTCTGTTGAGTAAACTGTTCTGCGTTCTTGATCATCCCTCTGCGGATTAGAGTCTTTGCCGCGGTTTTTCTCCCAAGGTAAAAGCATTTGAAGACTCTTATTACCATCAAAGTTGTCGTCGATAGAGTTCGGGAAAAGGCGGGATTGATCTTGGTGATTTTTTTGAATACCGATATACACGATGGAAGTAAATAACTAGAGTTAGGATCTATAGATCAAAAGGGGGTATAGTTCTTTGTCTGTTTTGATTTGATTGTGTTTGAATATATATATATATGTGTGTAGATGTCTTTGTAAGTTACAACTTTTGTAACTATTTATGTGTAAATCTTTCTTCATTATGCGGCAAGGTTACACTGTTTTGTCAATAAAAAATATAGAATCTTCTTTACTCTTTACATGCATTGTAACGTTAATTGTATACATTACAGTTGATTAAAATCCTCAAGGGTGATTACAAAATGACTGTCGTGGAGGCTCTTAGGTCTGATGTTGCTTCTTTCACAAGAAACATAAAAATAGGTTATGGGTTGTTAGTCCACCTCTTGGTTTCTCATGTCGTCCGCATCAAGGAATTAACAAAATCAAATATAGGTTACAATGCAGTTATATGCTATTTATCTCTACCTAATTTTAAAATAAGTTAAAGTCTTTTAATATTAAAAAAGAATCCATTATAAAATATTTTACAAGTGTAAATTGTAATCTTTATAAATTAATACAATATAATTACATTTATATTAATACACTAAAAATAACCTTATAAAAGAATCAAAATAAAAGAAAAATTCTCCCGTGGCAGCTTTATATAAATCTTACTTTGTAATAACTATTAATAGATTATAAGTTTAGTGAATCTAATATATCTAGTTATTGATTATTTCCATCCTCCACCCTATAAACAAAACTAAAGATCAATCAACATCACATAAGAAAAGAGAAAGAAAAAAAAAACAGAACCTTAAGAAATAGGGAATTGAGAAGAAGCTGTTGTTCGTGTAAGTCTTGGCTGTCCCTTTGTGTTTTCTTTTCAATTTGATGAAATTATTTTCATGGCTCTTGGAGATAAAGCTTGAACCTTTAGGGCTTTGGTATTTGAATCGAGCCTTAAAGCTTTGTCTTAAACTCTCTCTCTTTCTATATATCGTATATTTTCCAATATGGAAACTGGATCTAATCATCTTAGGTTTTGTGATAGCAATTTGAGCTTTACCTAGGATGTCCGATTGTTGTAATGTCTTGAAAGTGTTGTACTTGTGGTATATATATTGTTGGTTGCTGCAATATGTTAACTAGTGCTTGAGCTCATATTTCAGGTACCACTAGCCACTAAGGATGGGTTCTGTCTCTATGAATTCATTGAATTGTCTTCCAGATGAACTTCTTGCCAAAATCTTGTCCTTCCTTCCAATAAAACAAGCTGCTTCAACCTCTCTCATCGCCAAGAGGTGGAGGACTTTGTTTGCTGTCAGGCATAATCTGGACTTTGACGACTCCGAAATTTTAGACCCGAAAGTAGATGAAGAGGATATGTACAACGTTTATGAGAGTTTCTGGTCTTTTGTGGATAGAACGTTGGCTTTGCAAGGCAGTGTACATATCAATAAATTCTCACTTAAATGTGGATATGAACCTCAAGAGGAGGATCATGTTGATGGTTGGATAAATAATGCCCTGGAACGCGGTGTCTCTGAGCTGCATCTACACTTAACAGATGAGATGCGGTTTCGTTTGCCATCAAATCTGTTCATCAGCAATACACTGGTGAAGCTAACATTGGGAGAAGAACTTAGCATCCATTATCTTCCTCCTAATACTTTTCTTCCATTACTAAAGATTCTCTTCCTTCGTTCAGTTAGGTTTGGTAATCAAAAGTTCTGTGATGTGCTTCTTGCGGGTTGCCCTGCACTTGAGGACTTAACCATAAACGGCGAGGATTTTTCAGGAATACCTGAAGCCATTTCCAGCAAAACAATTAAGAGACTCTCTCTCATTTCTAAATCCGTTGACTATGATGATTTGTCCAGCTTCATGTCACTAGACACACCAAATCTTGTCAACCTCTTCTACAGGGATTTTCCTCGGCGTAGGTATCTAATTCGTTGTAATTTGGATTCACTTGTGAAAGCTGTACTGGATCTTCATGTCTTAGAACTTGTAGACAATGATGAGCCATTTGAATCAAATGTGATGGATCTCATGAATGGCGTACGCAACGTCGAGATACTTCAGTTGACACATTCTGCTACTAAGGTCAGTTTTATTTTGTGTATGGTCACATAATCACTTGGTTAGAACTTAATAAGAACAATATAACATTCTTCTCGTTTGGTGTGTGTTTAGATAATTTGGGAATATTGCAAAGGTGGACTACCTGTGTTCAAGAACCTTCTTCATTTGGAGTTTTTAGGTTACGAAGAAAGAGTTTGGAAAGAGCTACTACCACTTATGCTAGAGCATTCTCCAAACCTAGAACGTTTGTTCCTCTCGGTAAGAAACAAAAATCTTACTTTTGTATATATATGACTGTGCATGGCATTAATTAAATTAAAAGTGGTTTCTCATATTCATTAATACTTCTTCAGGGTCTGTGCCATTGCAAGTCAGATGGGATTCGCATTCCACAGACTAACAAAGTAAGCTTCTTGTGTATCACGTTCTATCTAGGAACTGAACATGAGCTGAAACACATCAGCCATTTTTTGCTTAAAATGGAGTGCCTTCAAGTGGTGCAAGTCTACTTTGCAAAGACATTGGTTGATGACTCCAAAAAGATGAAACTCACAGAGGACTTGTTGAAGCTTCCCAAAGCTTCTTCCAATCTCAGGATGCATGTTATTTGATCATCATTATATATTTGTTCTTCTATTTCTTCAGAACTCAGATTTATGTTATAATGACTTATGATTTTATTTCTTCAGTATCTTTCTTGTAAAGAATATTGTTCTTTTGATTTTTTTTTTTATGCTAAGTGTGTTTTTGATGGTTGGGTGTTTATGATTTAGATTAAAAAATTATATCAATTTGATTTAAGAAAATTAATATTTAGTATAAAATAAGTTTGTGTTCAAGATTAAGGAAACTCAAAAAAAGAAGAAAATCAAGCTACATAGGAAATTAAGCAATAAAAAGAAATGCAAAGAAGGAAACCTGGAATTATAACACTAAAATCCATAGAGAAATTCATAAACTATGGCTTCTTACAATACTGCATGCTGGCGGTATTTTTATAGCACTTACAAATTTTTTTGACATATGGCGGAATTACACTGATTCCTACCTTAGTGATAAGAATAATGATCCTCCACCTTACAAAATTTCACATGTGGCTTAATTACAAAAAATTCTTACCTAGTAACAACCAATAGGTGATTAGTTTAGTGATTCTAATCTATCCTGATAGTGATAAGATTTATTATCCTTCACCTTATAAATAACCTAGAGATGAAAGATCAATCTACACCACAGAAGAAAAGAAAAGAAAATCTCAGAAACCATGATAAATGGGAAGTTAGCTAGTAGTTGTTGTTGTTCTTGCAAGTCTTGTCTATCTCTTTGAGTTTTTTTTTTCAGTTTGATTATATGATTGCCATGTCTCTTGAAGAATTTTTTTAAAAACCTTTAGGACTTTGGTATTTAGATTGAAACTTAAAGCTTTGTATATTGTGTCTTAAAACCCCTTTGTCTCTACTATAATTATTTCAATATGGCCGAAACTAGATTTATATGATTATAGGAAGCATCTTTTTGTATTGGCAGTATTTTTGAGCTTTATCTATATTGTTGGTTCTTGCTGTGTGTTAAATAGTGATAGACTTGATGTTGATGATACTGGGGAAGATATTGACTATGATCATATGACATGCACATAAGAAGATCAGTTTGATAGAGTGTCCTCAAGAGATAATGGTTGGTGCAAGAAAGGTGTGCAAGTCAAAGAGGATTTGTTGAAGTCTCTCATGGCTTCCATCCTCACAAAATGCAAGTCATTTGATCATCGTCTTTATCCTCCTCAGCATCATCCATCTGTAGTTCAATTACTTCAAAAACCAATTGATAAGATCTTAAGGTTTTTATGATTTATGGTTAAATATTACCTTGTCAAAGCCAATTACTCTTATTATTACATTTTTCGGCAAAACATGCTGCCCAAAGTCTCTAATAAGATGAGTAAAATATTAATAAAACAATATTTGAGAAAACCCAGTATTAAAAATGTTTGTATAATATAGTATGAATTTTATATTTATAAGTGTATATTTTCATTTGCCAAGATAACATTTATATATAATCATAAAATGGAAAAATATATATTCAAGATACCACACCACCAAAAAACAGAAAAAGAAATGTAAGGTTTGTCTATCTTGTGTTCAGTCAATACCCATCATGGGGTGATTTCATACCAATTACAGGGTGATTGCATAAAAACATTACTGTATAAATTCAATTTGTAAGCACTATGAAAACGTCTAATCACAAATTTATCCTAATTTCCCAATAATGTATTTTGTTCTTGAATTTTGTCAACCATATTTGTTCTTCAATCAGTTTGAAGTTTAAATCGACCCTTTTGTATTTATTAGTTATTACATCTCCAATCATCTCTAAAGCAAACAAACGTCGACGCGTGCCCTAGCCCCTGCGAACGCAATATTAACCAACTATACAGTATTATTACAAAATCAATTTGGAGGTAAAGATATAGAAATGATCTTACAGGAGTAGGACAGAGCTTTTTCTGGAAGTGGTGAGCCCATTAGAGAGGGGAAGAAGGAGACGAGGAGGAGGAGGCAAAGAGGAAGGAAACCCTAAATCGGGATTTCAAAACTTTAAATACAAGACTCAGTTTTATGTTTTGCTTAAACGACAGAGCATTGGTAACAACACAATAACACGACAGAACCTTCTCTCCGAAACAGAGGTGAAGATTAGGATATCTAAGTGATTCGCTAAATCACGAATCTACCCCTTAGTTAAAATACATACACAACCAAGTGGATGAAAGTAGTTTAGTATCTTGAACAAGGACTGGCTTTAAGGTCTAGGCAAAATATTCGTTAGATTCGTTTCGATTCTATTCGAAAAATTTGGATATCCGTAAATTTTTTTTTTTTTTTGAATGAATGTAAAATTAAATTCAACCAAAAAAGAGACCTTTGTTCTTACCATATATGCAACTTTAGATTGAAAGAATTGCTTATAAATCTAGCATTTAGAAAAAACGGAGAGCTTAGTATCTTGAAGCCAACCAAGAACTGAAGACGTCTCCTTTGAGTGAGCTGCAGCGGTTGCGTATATGTCGATCAATGAGTTTGATGAGCTGGTCCGTAGGCTGAGGACTTTCTCCGTGGCGTCTGTTGTTTCTTTCCCGCCAGAGCGAGTGTATTGTAGTCTGAAAAGCATACCTTCGGACATAGCGAACAGTTGGAGCAAGTTGGATCCCTGAGATGAGTGAGACGACATCCCAGAAAAGTGGAGTGTACTGAGCTTGCAATAGGCGAGATGTGATATTCAAATTTTATAGCAAAGCAAGTAAGAAATGTAATATTCATAAACGACGAAGCAAATAACAAAATATTATTGTTCAAGAAACCATAGTTTCAGGACCGAAACAATAAGTCATCAAAACATAAATTTGAGTTTTTGAAGAAATATATAGAAAAAACAAATGGACGATGATGCTGGGGACTATGGTGTTGATGATAATGATGAGAGTCTATGCTTCTGATGATGGTGATGGACTGATGGTCATAATGCTGGTGATTCATCAAATGACATGCATAATGAGATTGGAAGAAGCTTTGGGAAGCTTCAACAAATCCTCTGTGAGTTGCATCTTTTTGGATTCATCAACCAATGTCTTTGCAAAGTAGACTTGCACCACTTGAAGACACTCCATTTTAATCAAAAAATGGCTGATGTGTTTCAACTCATCTTCAGTTCCTAGATAGAACGTGATACGCAAGAAGCTTACTTTGTTAGTCTCTGGAATGCGAATCTCATCGGACTCATGTTCATACTTGCAACGGCACAAACCCTGCAAAAGTAATTAATTAACATGAGAAACCACTTTATATTTAATTCATGCCATGCATAGTCATATATATATACAAAGTTAGGTTTTTGATTCTTACCGAGAGGAACAAACGTTCTAGGTTTGGAGAATGCTCTAGCATAAGTGGTAGTAGCTCTTTCCAAACACTTTCTTCGTAACCCAAAAACTCCAAATGAAGAAGGTTCTTGAATATAGGTAGTCCACCTTTGCAACATTTCCAAATCACCTTAAACACACACCAAAAGAAAACAATGTTATATTGTTTTTATTAAGTTCTAACCAAGTGATTATGTGACCATACACAAAATAAAACTAACCTCAGTAGCAGATTGTGTCAACTGAAGGATCTTGACGTTGTGTATCCCATTCATGAGTTCAGTCACATTTGGTTCAAATGGCTCATCACAATCTTCAGGATCTAGGAAATGAAGATCCAGAACAGCTTTAACAAGTGAATCCAAGTTACAACGAATAAGATACCTTTCCCGAGCAAAATCCACGTAGAAGAAGGTGACAAGATTTGGTGTGTCCAGTGACATGAAGCTTGAAAAATCAACATCGTTAGCGCATTTAGAGAGGATAGAGAGTCTTGTAATGGTTTTGCTGGAAATGGCTTCGGGCGTTCCTGAAAAATCCTCGTCGTGTATGGTTAACTCATCAAGTGCAGGGCAACCACCAAGAAGCAAATCAAAGAACGTTTGGTTTTCAAACCAAACTGAACGAAGGAAAAGAATCTTTAGTAATGGAAGAAAGGTATTAGAAGGAAGATACTGTATGCTTAGCTCTTCTCCCAATGTAAGCTTCACCAGTGTTCTGCTGACGAATAAACTCGATGGCAAACGAAGCCACTTATCGTCTTTTAAGCGTAGATGTAGCTCAGATACACCGCGTTGGAGGGATTTATTTATCCAGCGGTCAACATGAATCTTGTCATGTTCCAAAACACATTGAAGTGTGAATTTGTTGATATGAACACCGCCTTGTAAAGCCAGTGTTCTATCAACAAATGACCTGAACCAAGCACGGTAACTATCCTCTTTAGCCATTACCGGGTCCAAAATGTTCGAGTCATCAAAGTCGAGATTACGCCGGAGAGCAAACAAAGTCCTCCACCTCTTGGCAATGATGGAGGTTGAAGCAGCTTTTTTTGTTGGAAGGAAGGAGAGGATTTTGGCAAGAAGTTCATCTGGAAGATTATTCAATGTAGTCATAGAGACAGAACCTATCCTTAGTGATGATACCTGAAATATGAATTTAATTCGATCTCAATCAATAATTAAACACATACCAAAAACCAAGAATATCACAACGAACCCATCCCTAGTTGCAGTACAATATAGTTTAACAACCACAGACAATACTCATAATTCCAACAACTTAGAAAAATTAAGATGAGGAGATACTTCCCACAGGCAAATAGATACAGGTTCCATATTGAAAAACAAAAATACAATAGAGAGAGAGAGTTTTAACTTTTAAGACACAGTAAACAGAGCTCAAGAAAACCATTTAATCCAACTGAAAATAAACTCAAGAGATAGGACAAAACTTACAAGAACAACAACTTCTTCTCAATCTCCCAATCTCAAGCTTCAGTTTTGAGGTTTTGTTTTTTTCTTTCTTGTCTTGTCTTCTCTTTTTTTTTTTTTTGTGTGTGGTCTTTATGTTGTTTAACAGGTTAGATTAGATTACTCATCTGCTTATCAAAAGTAGATAGATTAGATTCACTAAACTAATCATCTATTGGTTATTACTAGGTAAGAATCTGCTGTGTAATTATGCCAAGCTGGAAATTTTGTATTTTCTTATTTCCCATTATGCTTTAGGTAAGTATTTAAATTATATATAATTAGATTGTAACAATCATAAAAGATGACAAGTGTAAATTTTAAGATATAGTTCAAATAATATATAGAGTTAGGATACGCCTTTAAATTTGATATTAGGTAGAGTCACTAAGGTATCTAATGTTTGATTTTATTTCCTTGAAGCTGAAGCAATATCGGCATAGGTTAACTGGGGAAAAAGATGGGACAAAGGAGATATCAAGAGAACAGCCCAAAACCTGTTTTGTGTTTCTTGTTAAAGAAGCAACAGCATTCCCAGAGTGAAAAGAGTTCAAATCTGATTCATAGAACGACTATGGAGACTTTGGAGCTAACTGGAGGGGCTTCATGTACAACAATTACATAACATAAGAGGGTTTCCGGGTTGATTCGACTTGAGAAATAGTTATCTATCGTCATCGTATTTAATCGTCATTTCGAGGTACTCAGCAGCAGAGAGTATGGAAGGAAACTAAGTTAAGAAACTGCTTTACGAATATTCACATTTTGACACTAGAAAAAACTGCAAATACACACACAAACATAACACTTTGAATGGTTATTAGTAGTTCCTCTAAAACTATTTCTCTTGGAATTTACTAATACACATAGATACTTAAAACATGTAATTAAGTATCATCATACATATATTTCAGCCTTTACATAACCATAAGGAAGGTATCATCATACCAGTGAAGGGTCAATTTTTCCCATGTCAATATCGAAATTTCTCTCATGAACAAAATTACACATTCATATAAAAAGGAGAGAGGGAGCAGTTTGATTCCTTCTCTGTGAAACTCATAGACTTTGGCAGCAGGTGGCATAGAGGAGGAACGAAGAACCCATCACCAAACTAAAATCAAGAACATCAGAGCTAGAAAACGTAATAATACGAACACAATTCTTTTGACAAAAAGACTTGTATTCAACAGCTCAAGAAGCCATACCTTAAGGTGATAACATATGTTAAAGCAGCTTGTTTAAATATATGATTTAACTGAAATCATTTTTGAAGTTCAAGGCAACAAGAAAATCAAGAACTCCAAAAGAGTAACTTGTTGCCTTTGACTAATTACACAAGGGAAGCTAATTTCAAAAGGAAATAAATTTAGCTGAAAGCATTTTGGAATCGCTACGATATTTTATGATTCGTACTTTCAAATGTTTCGGTACCTCACGCTTATGATTTCTCGCAAATGGAGTTAGGTAAAACACCCCCAAGCCTATTCCGACTAATCTCTAACATCTCTAGTTTGGTGCAATTAGTCAAAGGCAACAAGAAAATCAAGAACTCCAAAAGAGTAACTTCCTAAAAAAGAAATAGCCATTTATTGCAACTTACCATTAGCGGGGTCTGTTTCAATCCTTTTCTGAAAATGTAGAAAAAAACAAATATTTTGAGATGGCATATATATGTGAACAATTAGAACACTCAGCTTCGAATTTCAGAAAAAAATTAGCAACTGACACCAGAACATAGCATGGCTCTTGTACTTTCATTTTCATAGTAGAAAGGTTGTACAACCACATAACAATATACCAAAGTAAGCATATGTGTATGCATTGAAGATCCGTGAAGAAGTGAGAATAAATAGAATACTTACAATCCCGGAAACTATCATACATATTATCCATTTCCGGAAGAGCAAAAGGTCTCACACCACTAACCTGCAAGAACAACAAGAAATCAAGGTATCAATCACTAGTCAAGAAGTAACTCACCTATAAGAGAGACAAGAAGTCAAACTAATAAGCTATCTCATGGCTGTTGGAGCACAGGGATAGGCCCGGCTCATATGGGTAGGGCAGAGGGGCGACGGCCCAAAAGCCTGTGAAAAAAAAAATTCAGGAGAAAAAGGACCCAGTTTTTTCATTTTTTAAAATTTTTTTAGTGTTAAAAGGCCCAGTTTTCCCCCCTATATATAAAGGTCCGTTTTTAGTAAAACAAATTAAAAAAAAAAAACTCATTTGATAGGAATAAATTAGAAAAGACCCAATTTTTAGGTTTTTATGTTAATAAGGTAAAAAAAATAAAAAATTCATATTGAGAGGGCCCAAACATTTTTTTTGCCCTAGGGCCCTTGTTTTTGTTGGGCCGGGGCTGCACATGGATCACAACATAAAAGGGAAGCCCATAAGTCGATAATATTTGAAATCTAAGTGATAATTTATTAAATAATTTAGATCAATAAATATATAGTGAATCCCAAAAGGTTATCTAAACCAAGGTATTTGTTGCAGTGAATATGGATATAAGATTTCTCACAATTACTATGTTTTGCAATATGATCTTTTTTATTTAATGATTTAGATAGAAAATAGATGCAATGCAAGGATGTAATGATAACCATTAAGCACTAATAGAGAGAGAAAGACCATAAAAACCCAAAAATTACCTACCTAAAGGCTAATTTAGAGGACTTAGAAATCTATATATACTAGGTTCGGACCCGCGCTACAGCGCGGGGGAAATAATTACATATATATAATCTTTAACATATTAGAAAATGCTACATTTTAATTTTATTGCAGTGCAGTCGATTACGGTGAATCATATATTTGTATACTAAATTTAAATAAAATAATAAAGAAAAAAGCGAATAAATAATCATATATTGAGTTTTGATAAAATTAAAAAATTGAACAGCACGAAATAATATTTATCGATAAATTATTCGTTTTGACCATTATTGTAGTAAAAATAAGAATATACGTAAAACTTACATATTTACAATATATTTTTTGAAGGACCAACCCGTAACAGAATTCATTTCGTAAAAAACATTACTCATAACACGCTTTATCATTATATTTGTGATTTTAACAAACTACCGGTGAACAATCTAAAATACATAGTTTGATATATAATATATTTTATCAATAAAAATTATGTCTCCAAAATTACATTTATGTCTTCAAAAAAATATTTTCAATATTTAAAATTTTAAATTTTTTTTATATATTTAAACTTTTTATTTATAATATTTTGAAATTTTTTGAAATTTTAAATATGCTCATGTAACAATAGTTTTAATACTGGTCAAACTTATAATGATTTTAAACCATTTTCCAAAATATTTAGTCGAGTGTAGTTGAGTATTATATGTCCGTTTTGAAAATTTCAAATTGCAACATATGCAAAAAAAATTTGAATTTTTATTAAATATTTATATTATATAGTATAATATCATAAATTAAAAATAAGATCAAATGAAAGTGAAAGAAGAATAATAATTTTTTTAATAGATTATAATAAATTAGTTAGAGAAATATTAGGAAATCCTATAATTAGTTAAGGAAATAATACAATCTTAAAATTAGATATAGGAAGTATCCGATGTATGTATCCGAACCCAATTTAATATCCAATTTTGAAGTATCCAATTGTTAAAATCGGGTTAATTTTTTAATTTTGACCCGACCCGTATTCCATTTTGTACTTCTCTTTTACTAATATAAGGATATAATTGGAGAATTCTCTCTTCCTCTAAAGCTATCCACATTAGCATTTTTTCTATTTTTTTGTATCAAGCCCAACAAAAAACCTAAATCCATATTTTTGTGTATCATTTTATTGTCTTTTGGCCTGTTAGTTTGTAATTTAAGTTCCAACCCTTTTATATCCAAATTGGGTTTATTTTCTATGACATTAGAAGGTACACATTATT